GAGAGAGAGAGAGAGAGAGAGAGAGAGAGGAACAAGAAGACGAGGAGGAAGAAGGGAAGCAAAGGGAGCTTGGGAGAGAACAGAGGGAGTTGGGGAGGCAGAGGAAGATGAAAGACACGAAAGAAGGTAGCACAGGTTGTCTTGGGTCCCCCCGGCACTGAGATGTTGCAATCGTAATCCCAGCACTTCAGACTGGGGCCTTATTTGGAAATAGGTTCTTTGTAGATGCAATTAGTTGTGTGAAAATGAGGTCCTCCTGAAGGAGGGAAGGACCTTGATCCGATCTGATCAGTGTCATAGAAAGGGGGAACTTGGACACAGACATGCACACAGGGACAAGGCCATACATCTCTGGAGCTGAGGCCACCCTGTCTTGGGCACTTTGTTACAGTATCCCTAGCAAACTACTACAGCAGAGGCAGGGGAAAAGGGGGAGGCAGAGGAAGAGAAGGGAGGGAGGGAGAGAGGGAGGAGGAAATGCAAGATGAAGAGGAGAAATCTGTGCAGAGCTGCCATCTCCTTCCTAAAACGTGACCTTGCCAGAGCCAGGTGCAGGGTCACCCCACTGTCCCCAGCAGCAGGTGGCCAAGGAAGGGGCCGGGCCCCTGCTCGCCCCCTCTGCCTGTCTGCCTTCCAATCTCCTCTGCTCAAGCTACCTCTTAGGAAGATTAATTTTTAATAAATCAGCACTCTTGTTTTTCTGTACTTATTAAAATTTAAGACAATGAGTCATTGAACCTGTAAGGCCTGGGCTGACTAATTACCCCAGCACAGCTGCCTGGGATGACCACGCGGCCCTCGGGGAGGAGGCGAAGCTGCCCGTGCGGAGTGGAGAGGGGACTGGGTGGGGGCGCTGCGTCCCTGCGACCTGTGCGGTCACTCTGCGGCTGCTGGATCAAGGGCAGGGAGCGGTCAGCTGGCCGTGGGTACACCCTTCACTCTCACCAGGCCCTCCCCTTCGGAGGAAGTGGGGCGCTGAGATTAGGGGAGACTCGGCCCCTGCCCCGTGCCCACAGGACATTCCCAGTTACTCTCCAGTGAGCTGTCCACAAAGAGGGGTACAGTCTCAGCACGGAGCCGGGTGGTTTGAGGGAAAACACACAGCTTCCCACCTCCCCTCTCACCACCCAACCACGCATGTCCCAACACTGGCGGGGTACCCCACCCAGGACCTGTCCCCCTCCTGAGAAGACGCTGCCCTCCTAGGCAACTTCACCTTCTGTACACCTACCCCGCCCTCTGCCTAGAAAAGCCCCCTCTGTTCCAGCTCAACAGAGGTTCCCCCCACCACACACACACGGACACACACATCCCAGCAGCACTGAGAGTGGGCCCCGCCCACCTCCGCCCCAGGCCCAGCATCCCCTGCCCCCTGTGTGGCCCCCCGGCCTGGCATGCTGGCTGCGGTCCTCCCAATTCCCACTCCGGGTAGTCTCTTCAGGCCTCTTCATGTGCTGCTCCTTCCCTTTGAAACTCTGACCACCCTTCCTGTGAGGCATCTGCTTGTGCCTCCAGCTCCCTATCAGGCCTCCCCTCCCCAGCACTCTCCTGGATGAGCGCTCCATCTTTCCGCCCCATCCACGTCCATGCTGTCCCTTGGCATACTTCATGCCATGCTGTCACGACCATGAGGGCCCAAGAGTGAGGTCTATGCATGTTATCCCCAGAACCCAGGAGTGTCTGGCTTGTGGTACATGAATAAACAAACACAGGATGGTAGTTATTGAATACATTCTCATCAAACATCCGGGCTCCAGTCTAACCCTAATAGTTCCCTGGGAACTACGGGAGATTTATGGACCTGAAGCCAAGGGTCAAAGGTTCAGGACCTCCTATCATTCTGACGTCAGAGGAGCAAAAGCAACAGCAGATGATTCACATCGCCAGGCCACTTGATGCCTTTTTCTAGAACATCTGACCACAGGCAATGGCCCCACGCTGCATCTCCACTCTCTGCTTTGCCTGCCCTCACCTCACTCCTTTCCCTTCCCACCCCCAAAATAAAGCAGAGAGCACTTCAAACATGGACAAGGACCCAAGTTGAACCCAAAGGCAATCTGTAAACTGCCACAAGGATGTTTGTGAGAAACACTTCACCCTAGTCCCAAAACACCACAAACAGTTTAATTTTTGTGCCACATAAATTACCCTAAACTCAAGTTCTATTCAACATTCATTAGATGGGAGGGAAAACATTAAATAGCACAGGCCTGCTCCGTGAAAGCTTCTATCCAGCTCTTATAAAGAGGTAGGCATTCCTCTGAGCCAGGCAACAAAACAACCAGTGCCCAGCCTGGGCCGAAAGGATCTGGTGGCAATTAAAAAGAGCCGCCATAGTTACCCAAAGCAAACAACCCAACACACTCACCAGGTACCAGGCAACCCTGAAGCACGAACAGGCAAGGGAATTCTCAAATTATCCTCCCGTGGCCTCCCCACACACCAAACCAGGTTCAAGACATGCTATTAGCAGCAATTAAGAGCCCAATTATGTTCTGGAGTTTGCAGCTTGGCTAACCTGAGTTATGGGCTGAGCCACCAGGCTTCTGGCTGATCATTCAGAGGTAGGAACAAAGAGAACACCGGAGTTGGGGGTGGGGGTCCCGCTCCCTGTATTCAGTGGTTTTCAGCCAGAGACTTTTCTGGCACTCTCCAAAAGCCGGCTAGAAATTGCACACTGACTCCATGTTCTCTGCTTTGGACTTGAGCCTTAGTAATATTGACTGACCCAAAGCTCTGGGGATTTGAGAGGTTTCATATATTATGCAGTATATATACTCTGTAAGTGTTCATGTGTGTGTGTATACACACATAAATATGTACACATCTAATATATCAAGTTGATCTATTTCATTTACATACACTCTATGATATCTGATATACATTTTTATATGAGTTGACACAGATATATCTGACTTTGATTCATCAAGTCAGAATTCATCTGACTTCTCAGTATTTATTAATTGATTTTCAAGAGGGAAATATATTATTGCAGGACCTAGGGTCTCGAAGAGAAAAAGTAACTTTTAAAAAATGACAGAGATGTTTAAAACATTCAAATAAGTCAGATGGAGAACTGGAAGCCTTACTAGGGGAAGAGACTACAGAAAGACTCTCAAGGAATATTTCAAGAGACACTGGTCCTGTGGGGTTCTCCTAACACAAGTCTAGTCGCCAAGTAAGTTCAGGAATCATTGCTGACCTTATCCCGCTTTTAGAAAATCAGAATACTTAGCAGCAGATTAAAGGCTCTCAAAAGTCCTGCACTTAGGCAGAATCTAATTCAGCACTTGCTACATTTATTTGGCTATGGACCTTGTGTGTCTTCCAACACCTCTCAATACCTTGAAGAAATGTGGCCCTAGGAGAAAATGTCCAGTCTTCCATATAGAATTCAATTCTGTCTGGAGAAACAGTGAGCTTGGAAGGGGTGCTCAGTCTGACCACACATTACAGCTCTAGGCTTTGGAACAGGATGCTACCAATTTTTCTTTTCCCTCTTCATCCCAATAGCCTGGAATTTTCCAATAAGATGCCAGTAAATCCACAGGTCCCAGAATGCATGGAGATTGGGTGGGAAAATATGATGTCTTATTCCCAACTCAGAAGAGCCTTGGCTGATTCAGATAAGTTCCTCTGCCAAGGATACTTAAATGGTTGAGAATGACCTAGAAGGCAATCGTCTGCTAAAATAAACTCTAAGACGATGCAGCTCTGGGAACCATATCAACATTTTGCAGTGAAGATTTGCTGACCCAAAAGCAGCAGGCCTGGGATTTAGCCTGATTATGCTCCTGAGTACGGCCTTTGGCAGAGTCCTTGACCAAGACTAAATCTCCAAAGCAGGGGAAGTCAGTGGTACTCTTCGTTCCCCTCAGAGGCTAAGTGCAGACATGGACCTAAAAATGCTCTGACTCATCCCTTTTTGCCTCTCTTCTCCTCTGCACCACCAGCTCCCTGCCAAGGACAGGAACTGCACTTCAGCATCTTTGCATCACCAGGTTAAGCTCAGAGGTGTTGATTATTGTTACCATTAAGCGGTGGTGATTATTTTCCATGGTTTATTTGGTACTCAGGACCCCCTCGCTTTTGTAGTGGGAAGGCTCCAGGACAGCCATCTCTGGGGTATCTGGTCTACCTTCACACAAAGTAAAAAGACACATAGTAAATGGGAATGTGTCTACCACTCCTTTCCCCCAATTTATCCTTAAGCTTGGTCTACAGAGTCTGTGCATAACATCCATGCAGGGGCATCACGGGGATGGGCATGTGTGTGCGCCTTCATCTGTGTGCATGCACACTGGGGAGGGGCAGGTCACAAGTTGCCCCAAAGTTACACAGCAGATCAGCCCAAGGCCGGCTCTGCTGGGCACACCATGCTGCCTGCCTCTCCAAGCACGAGCAGGAGGCCAACATTTCAAAACTGAGCTCCCAGCCTCTCCCCCGTGGCTGCCTCTGCTGTCTCAGGTCCCAGCTCACCAGGACCCTCAAGAACATCTCTGTTTGTCTTGGACTCACTACACAGAAAAACTTAAACACTCCAGGGGCACAGGGAGAGGGAGCTGGCCTTGTTTACAGACGATCTCTGTAACGGCTGTAATCTTTAATTCATAACAGCCCCATGAACCAGGCACACAGTGGACAAGGGCAGAGAGCCGCCTCCCTTTTCTAGGGTTTTAAAACACAAGCGGCTGTGCAGGAAGTTGGTTTTCACAAAGGCAGAAGAAAGGAAAACATGCTAATTCACAAGCAATGGCTTCAAGTCCTCTGTTTCAAGTCTTAGGATGGCTGCCAAGGGGTCCAACTGTGACCTTGGCTCCCTGTGTGAGAGCTGGGGGGGAGGGCTTTTTCTGCATCATTGAGGGGTGACCACAAAACCATCTTCTATGTACTTACCATAGAGAGCAACCGTTTGATACGAGAGCTGCAACAGACAGCTGGCTGTACTCTAGAAGGAAAGGAAGTCCTGGCACCAGCAAAGGGCCACATGGGGAGCATGAGGAGGGGACTCTGAATCACCAAACATCTCCTGAAGGATTGTGAGAATTTATAAGATAGATGCGGACACCTGGGTGCTCAGAGGTCTCCTATCAGTTTCAAGGTCGTGGCAGGAGTGAGGTTCCAGCCAGGCCTTCTAATCCCCACGTAGAAGCAGCAGCAGCCATGGCCAGGAAGATAGATGTGGCATGACCCCCGATGGAGCCGTGCCAGCACCTGACCAGAGGGCTAGACGAGTTCCTCTGCTGGTTTCACCCTGGTGAAGAGTTCAAGGACCTCCCGAACTACCTGGCTATGAAGAACTACTCTATTTCATGGCCAAGGTCACAAGCCACTGACCCAGATCCAAGCAGATCTAAAATAACATGCCCCTGGCAGCTGTGAGGAGGGCAGGCTACAAGCTCTCACAACTGCCCTTAAACCCAGGCAAGGGAAGCATATGGTCACTGCATACAAGCACATCACCAAAACTCGGAAAGAGGACATCTAATGACCCACAGTTCCTGGCCATCACTGGGACCATGGGGTGTTATCATAACCCAGCCCTCCAGTTCATTAAGGCAGAAGCAGAAGGAATGTGCTCAAGATCTGCACAGGTCTCTGGGGGCGGAGTCCTCTCTATTCAGCCCCTAGGAGCTGTTCTTTCACTGAGGTTCCACCCGTGGATGGGACTCCCTCTGTATGTCAGCCCAGGGAGCCAACAGTTGGATAACATAACCCAGGGCCATAACGGTAGCATCTACCCAAGGACTGGGGTTATGATTAGATGAGCCAGACAGAAGCACACTTGCATAAAGTACATGCTGTTTGTTTGTTTGCTTGTTTGTTTTGAGACAGGGTCTCACTGTGTAGTTTAGACAGGGATTACAGGCATGCGCCACTGCACCGAGTCCAAAGGTACATGCTCTTCAAAGGCAAATGTGCATTTGCATTTATTGCTTAGGTCTCAACCCCATATATTACAAATAAGGTTGTGGGACTCATCACTTGGATAAGAGAAGAGACAGCAGGCCACACAACCTGCCAGAGATGCTCTGAAAATGTAGAAGGCGGCACTGCAGAACAGTGCCCCAAGTCCGTATCAGACAGAGCCCTTGGCCCAGGTGATTCTGTTGCTCTGAATGAGACCCCCTCCTATCCAAGATTAGACCCTGCATCTCTGAGTCTCTGAGGGCAGGTCCTGAACCTCCGCTAGCCTCACCCATAAAACAGGGGTGGTTACGAGAAGCAGGCAGACAAAGCACAAAAGCACCGTGCCAGCTCCTGACACGTTATAGGCACTAAGTGGTGGTTACTGGAATTGTAAAAATAAAGGCGTGAATCCAGCCCTCTCTCTCCAGATTAGAGCCATCCTGGATAACAGCCTTTGCAAGTCCAAGGTCCTACCTCCTCTCTTTTTCCTAAGTCCAGGAAACATAGTCTGTGTTCAGTGATCCTAATCAGCAAAGACAGAAAGTAAGCAGGTGGACTGGTAAGACCACTATCATAACCTGACTACTCCTCAGAGTTCATAACCCACAGCTCAGGGATCTGTGGCCTGCCATGGGGACAGAAGACTAGCATGCAGAAGATCTGGCTTCTCGTCCTGGGCAAGCAGCTTCCACTCTGAGGACAGACATGGGTCCCTGTTACCCCTGTCCTGGTAAAGGCAGGTGCAGAGAGCCACAGTGAACACAGCTTAAGTCCCTAGCCTCATGCCCCAGGCACTAGCTGGGTACACCACCTCCAGGGTACGTAGGGGAGCTAGTTAAACTGTGAACAAGGTCCTGAGGGTAAAGGCCCTTCCTGTGCTTTTAACTGGAGCCTGATGAACAAGAGTGAGGTAGTGAGGTTGGTTGTGCCCATTCTTGGGACAGACAGACTCAGGGACGTTGCTCATGGGAGCAGCCAGCAGCACTCATGGCTTCCCTTTGGGTAACTCTTGTGTCTGACACTTTTTATTATGATTTAGATCTAAAATGCCCTCCAAAGTCTCAGGTTCAGAGGTGGGACTTTTAGAAGGTGACTGGATGATGGGGGCACAATACTCATCAGTGGATTAGTCCATTGATGAGTTCATAGCTGACTGCGTTACTGAAAGCTGGGGCCTACTCAGAAAAGGTGGGTTACCAGGAGTGTGATCTGGAAGAGTGCATTCTTATTCCTGGCTCCTCCCTTCTCTCTCTCTCTCTCTCTCTCTCTCTCTCTCTCTCTCTCATGAAGCTTGCACCATCCCTCCACTATGCCTGTACATCATGCTGTTTCTGCCTTGGAACCAGCTGACCATGGACTGAGCCCACCAAAACTGTAAGCCCAAATAACCCTCTTCCCCTTATGCTGTGGTATCAGGTATTTTGTCCCAACGAGAGGAAAGCTAATACACTCTTCTGCCTCACAGCTTCATTTCTAGGACCAGAACACAGATGACAGAGGTGACAGATTGTGCCTTGTCCCTTCTCTCTTTCTGAAAGGCTGTAACTGCCCTTACTGGATAGCTGTTGTGCACAGTTTTAAAGATTTCTCACTGAACAAGGCTACAAGCAAGAAGTCATGCCGGGTCAACTGCTGAGCCTGCCTCCTGTGGTTCCTCAACTTCCATGTGTTATCCCAAAGAGCCACAGCTTCTCCTCCTTATTTTCAACCTCAGAGCAGCTAAACCCCACGCCACTGTCACTGCTGGTCTCCCAGCAGAGGCAGCAGCAGGTAAAAATGAGATCGGGGACTGGTTCTCTATGAACACCCAGCAACAGCTAGCAAAAATCTCCACTCTTGGAAAAAGAGTGGAGAGGGTCCCTGACCAAAGATGCCAGGCCCCAGGCTGGCACCTGATGCTACAGAAATGTCACAGGACAGATGGGACTAAGGGCACTACTTTCAGAAGACCCCAGGAGCCCACTAGAGCAGACCACCCTGCTGTTTTCAGAAATAACAACGGATTCTTTGAAGGTGCCTTCCTCAAACGCTACAGCCCACACCTGCTGACTTATTTTGGCTAACGATCTTATTTGTGCATTTCAAGACTAGTTTATCTGCCAGGGAGACAGAAGCTTCCCCATGGAATTTCTACCTTAAATGTGCAGCCACATGCATGCCCACAAGCTCACACAGGCACATGCTCAACATCACACTATGGTCAGGACTATCTTGCACACAGTTCTAAACAGTCTTCACTGGCACAGCGTCAAGATCTGGCTAAAGCCAAAGGGAGCATAAGTATAAATTCCTGGCACTCCATGAATCCCCATCACTTCGCTCCTTCTGGACACTGACCTGCATCCTCCAGCTACTCAGACTGCACCTGGATCATTAACAAGGGGGAAGCTTTACAGAGCCCAAGGGGAACTAAGACAACTGTGTAGCAACACCCCATCGTCCACCACACCATCCACCCCTGAGTTAAAACAGTGCTGGTCCATCAGATCCACTCCTCTTCTTCTACCTATGTGTCAGGAAAAGGAGGGGGGCTGGGGATATAGCTCAGCAGCATAAGTGCTTGCCTGGCAAGCCTGAGGTCATGAGTTCAATTCCCGATACCAAAAAAAAGGAAAAGGAGGGACACTGTCTTGAAAGGCAAAAATGATACCACGTAATATTTTCTGAGTCTATAGAAGAGAGGTAACTGCACAGAAAAAGCTCTGTATGAATATTCACCAAACTGTGCAGAGGGATCTTCACCTTTTCTACAAGGCTTTTAATTTTTCCAAGGGAGACTGACTTCCTGAGCTACTTTCTGCAACTTAATGCTTTTTCTCTTTTTGTAAGCTAAGGAATGCCATTTCCAGCTGACGCTTAGCTACAAAAGGAAATCAATCTTTTTTCTCCCTCTCTTTTTTCGTTTTGAAGAATGAGAAGACAACCCTGTTCCCCTCCAATGTTGAATTTGCTGAAGGTCAAATTTGAGTGCCTATAAACTTTGATAATGTCTCTATAATTTACTATTTTTTACAGGCTCTATAGCTTTTAATAGCAAAAGCGAGTAATTTTTCACTGCTCATTTGCAGCGTGCAAAGGGAAAAAAATCTGTCGTGTCTGACGTGCCCGAGCTAAAACACTTCATTTTCCTTTCCAGTTGGTAAGTGAACTAAAAATTACTTCCTGCAAATAGATGTATATGTCTATAATGGACACAAAACGTATGTGCCTACGATTGAGTCTGCAGAAAAACAGAAAAAAACGAAAACAGCTATCCAGAGCAGAGTTAACACTACTGCTAACACAGCTGTGCTTTAGTAAATGTGCTTATGTCTGAGAAACTCCTGGTCCATGAGGGCAAAGGTTGCTTGCATGACCAACCAATAAAAAGAAGTAAATCCTAGCAATCCCAGGCCCCTAGAGATGGGAAGAAAATTCCAAGGTAAGGGAGACTTGGAACTCAAACTCTGCACAGGGGTGAAAGGGGCCGGGGCTAGGTGAAGTCAGGAGGAGGTCCATCTCTCTGAAAAGGAGCCTCTCCATGACCACGGCAGGCAGGTGTGTCCCTCTCCACATTCACGCAGGGCATTCTGTTGGCATGCTGCCAAACAAGGCCTGGCCAGCGGGTAGGGGACAAGGGTGTCCACAGAGTGGGTGGGATCCAGCAGATCATCAAAAGGATGCCAGCCTGCAGTCAGGTACCTGGGTTTCAATCCTAGTTCTAGGGCAATACTGATGCTCTATAAGGGTGAAAATGAATATGAAACATTTACTGAGCGCTAAGGGCATACCCACCAGCCAGCCAGCTAAGGCATTTGCATGCACGATCTTGTGTGACCCTCCCTCCAGGCCTCCTGTCACATTTAACTGTTATCCTCATTCTGCAGATGAGGAAATTGAGACTCCGGGTGAGATACAGAGGCCAGGCCAAGCTGGGACATAAGTGACATCACAGCAGTGCCTTTGTAACCCATCTAGGCTCCTCTTCTGCCTCGCACCTGGTTTTGAGGCTCCCAGAGCCAACTCAACAAAAGTCCAAACTGCAGGTGTTAGCTTACAAAGCCCCAGAGGCCACACGCTGGAGCAGCACACTTGTGTCCCTTGGAAGAGCCAGCAGAGCCACTTGCTGATGGGGTCCTGGACCACAGACTTGCACACGTCCCCTGTCACCCTGGCTTCAGGAAATGAGGAGCCGGCATGCAGTGTTTGTTATTCACAGCTCCGGCAGCGGGAATCTATGCTTCCCACCGTCCTGCGGTTCTAATGGGAGCAATGCAAGAGAAGCTCGCTCCACACACCTACGGGCAGGCTCCCTGCCAAAGCCCACCACACTCCAGCTTCCTGTTCATTTTGCCTCATGGATGATTTTTAAAGCTTTTTAATTGTCCTTAATAAATTATCTACATGTGTGCGATTGTTACAATAGTTTCATTAATTTTTCTCTGTGCATCTAAGCTATTTATCACAGAAGTGTTAATGGAAAAGAAAAACATGTCAGGCAGGCTCTTCCTCACATACCTCGGGCTTGGGCAAATTAATGCGTATGGGATTGCTTTCCCATACCACAAACAATTAGGGACGTCTTTATTTCATCCTAGCAAATCGCCTTTCAGCAAGGCCATAGGAGTGGGCCGGTCTGAGCACCCCGGAACTGCCCGCAGAGGAAGCGGCCCACACATGCTCACTGCCTGGTGTGCAGTAACTTTATCTCCACTCCCCTTCGGCTGAAATCTAAACTGAGTCCTCAGCACTCACTGCCAGCTCCAACCCAACCAGAAGGGACACGTCGGTGATATTTCAGATGAGAGCCTCTTGCTATCTGAAGCTTCCAAGCAGAAGCAAGCTGCAAGGATGGGGAGCAGGGCAGAGGCAGAGGCTCAGTGGGGGCTTGCAGAGCTCAGGGACTGGGAACGCAGGGACTGAGCCGTGCAATCGCAGAGGACTGCTTGTCCCACCCTGCAGCCCCTCCAGAGAGAAGGGAAAGGAGCTGCTAGGAGCCGGCCTACCAACCTGGGGGCCCAACGATGTTTCACAGACTTATCCCACCAGGAGCTTGACTTGGCAGCTGGATTAGCCAGGCCTTAAGGGTGGGAAAGCCAGGAGCCAGGATTGAGATACACAGGGAACCAGCCCGCTACAACCGGTCCACTTAACCTTCAGATTACACTTCCAGAGCAGGGCGATTCAATATTCAAAATTTACATGGGCATCAGAAACTGGCTTCAGAGCTGCTAAGGGGGGTGGTCGGGCTCTGGTGTGGATGGAGCACGTGGCTGTTTCGGATTCGGTTTTCATGAGGCAATGTAACAGCAGAGCGAGGCAAGTGTAGCTACATCACAAAGTGCAAGGCTCCAGGGCGACCCCAACCCGATGGGCCCTTCTGCCCCAGGGTCCACTCCTTGCCACACCAGATGACACACTGCTCTCTCAGCGCACTGAGCCTTTGGCCCACACAGTTCCTTCTGCCAGAAAGTTCTCACCATCCCCATCTGCTCCTTCGGACACCCACACCTCCTTCAGAACCACGCTTTCTGTGCCAGTGGAGCCAGAGCCACCACTGTCGCTGCAGCACATGGGTCCAAGTCCTCCACAGTCTTTTTTCTCCAACTGGTGTTCCCCGGACTGTCAAGACTCCAGGGCCACTGCTAGGCCTACAAGCTTGCCTCCAGGGAAAAGCCCAGTGCTGCGTGCTTGGCACCGCTGACATGGAGACCACCTGGCAGAGCCTCCCCCCCACGCGGGGGGGGTCACTGGAGCAGGGACAGAATATCCCCTCACCCCCTGGAAGAGCGCACATGAGCCGGCCCCACCACCTCTCCAACTGTCCACCTGTGCCTCTGTCTCCTGCTCCCTCCTGTGCTCTGGGTCCACCTCCTTTCCTTCTGTTCCCTGAACTCACAATGCTTGCTCTCGTCTTGAGGGCCACAAAGGCCATGTCATCAGCCTAGAAATCCCTGTCGCTCTCTGCCTAATTTACCACCTTCCCTCCCTAACCCCATTCCCCCACTCCTTCCCAAGCTACCACTTGGTTGCATTTTCTCTTTGCCTTCCCAGATCAGTGTCTGTAAGTAGCGCCTTCACTCATCGGGTCTCTCACTTACATTCCATGTAACCGTAACTCCCTCCGCTCCCAGAGCTTATCGTCTCCTCTCCAGTCCCACAGTCAGAGTCGGGACTCCTCAGCATCGGTCTCACACAAGAATGAGACTCATTCTGTCACAGAACAAAGTGCGGGGTCCTACGCTGCTGGAGAAAAGCTCCGCATCCTGCTAAGGGGCCTGGTTCTGCTGCTGGAAGCTGAGCAGCACTTCGGACAAGGAATACTTTGGAGTTAGGGGACACACCTCCGGGGAGCACTGGTAAAAGCGCAGTGTGAGATACCAAAAACTAGTCGCATGTTAATATATGCTGCCTCCTCCTTAAACAGCTTATGAACACTATAATTTTCTTCACTAAAACACTGTCTTACAGAACCAACTCCTCTAATTACAGCCGTTTGTATGCATTACAATCTTTACACAATTAAAGCTACTCAAAAGAATAAATGGTTAAATGCCCCCTTGCCCTGTCACTAACCACCCCTCCCTTCAGCACCGAAGCACAAACAAAAAAACAGTCAATACAACAACAACAACAAGCACACACCCAAAGGTGCTGAGAACACCAGGTCGGACTGTAAACAGATGGAAATCCTCGGAAACTGAAATTCAAGCTGACACAGAACTTTGTCACTGCAGGGGGCAAAGTCAACTTTCAACTTCAAACCCTGGCATCTGACAGCCTAGCATCTGCCTTCGCTGTCACATGAAAGGCCTGCGTGCGCTGTACAAAATGTCTCATTTCAGGAGCAAACATCTTCCTCGCACAGTTCATCCCTAGACACAAACACATGGTTGGTGACCCGAAGGAGGCTTTTCTAGGATCATCTCTGAAAAATTTCACAAAGGCATTCCCAGCCCTCGGGTGTTTAGCAGGAAGTCTGCGGTGCCGCCTCTGGAGCCAGGCAGGTTTAGCTGGAAAATCTCTCTTTGGGACTAAACACTCATCATGAAATCAAGATGAAAAGGCCCAGGCATCAGCTACTGGACTGAGGTGACTCCTCCACTTACCTGCAGGAGGTGATCCTGTGGTCGTCCTCGCAGGGACCTCTCACCCTGTGAGGGACAAAAGCTGAGATAGGTCCTCCTGATTAAGTCCTGGCGGGACCTGAGCGTAACCCCTGGGCTCCAGGGTTGTGATCTGAACCCCTAAAGAGCTGGTGCTTGTACAGGAAAGCAGTGCAAGTTTTACTGCTGCCACTGAGGGGACTGGCCTCTGCTGGGCTTTTTACCATTCTAGGGGCCTCCTTCCTGCCTGGACCACTCTCAACACCCGGCTATCCAGATGTGGCACACAGAGGTAAACCAGGTCACAAGGCCTTCAGGAAATCAGAATCATGATTCTTGCTCGTAGGGCCAAAGTTCCTAGGTGCAATAGCAGGGGGCCTGGCAGCCATCTGATGGACTCTGTGGACCCTCTGTGGACAGCAGCTGTGGCTATCAAGCAAAGGAGGCCTGGCCAGTCGTCTCCGTAGGGTCACCTGGGCCGTGGTAAATGCTTAGCCCTCAAAGGCTCCCAGGTTTCTTCTCAGACTTGAAAGCAGAGGCCTTGGGAAAGGAGGAAGAGATAGGGAGCAGCAAGCACCGAGGCCCTCCCATTTCTCTCCTGGCTCTGCCCTCTGCCCATCCCACCCAGGGCTAAGTGAACGTCACTGGGGCATCCAGATACAAACACTGCTGGATTTATGGGGAAAGGGGCATCCACCCGGTTTTCAAGATGAAGGAAGCAAAGCAGCTCTGGCTGAGGTTCACTGCCCTCTGGGCCAGGCATGCCACCTGGGCTCTCTTCCTGTCCTCACAGCAAACCACAGGATAGGGACACTACTTTTGCCATTTGCTTCTAAAGGATGTAGAGCTCACAGAGGCCACATGGTTTGCCCAAGGACACATAATCAGGGAGTGAGAGTACAGCCTGGGGCCCCGGCAAGACTGGCTCCGTAGCAAGCCTGCCTCACCAGGCACAGCAGTTGGTCCTGAGGTTTGTAACTTGCTCTTTGATCTCAGGTACCTACGCTGGTTCTTACGCACAATGGAGGTTGCCTCTTCTAACTGTCTTGTGGCTCCAAAGTCGCCAAAAGCCAGGGCTTTCCTCACAGTAGCCTCTCAGGGCAGCTCAGCTCCCTCACCTTCCCCAGGCTCTTTTCGGGTGGCTAGGGCAGGGGTGGCAGCTGAGAAGAGGCAGTTTCTGCCGGAGCCATGTGTGTCACTGCAGCTGCCAGGAAGCCTCATTAGTCAGCACCAACAGCTGCTGCCGCAGGACACAACACGTGGCACCAGCCGAGAAGGAGACGTGCCAAGACACTGCAGAACCCCCAGGGTGGTTAAAGGGTGAGAGTTGCCAGGAAGAAGGGGGCTCAGGGTGTGCCCACACTTCACCTTGGCCAAAGCCAAAGGCCCTTCACAGCGCAACCTAGGCCCCAACCTCAAGCCTGAGTGGGTTTTCCCGTCTGGAGCTTCAGACAGGCCAGGCCTGAGGCTTCCTCAGCCAGGCCACGAGCGGCTGCAGGAGGTGCCAAGCTGTCCTGAAGGCCCCAAGGCCTGGAGCCCCCAGGTTTCCTGCTTCCCAAGGGCTAGGAAAACTTCTCTGAGGACGGTTAAAAAGAGTATGAATCTCCACCCATTACCACCTTTCCTCACTCCTCAAGTTGTGATGAGGGTGATTTCTATAAACATTCCTTCGCTTTCCTCAGAGCATCAAATTTCCAGCACTTTCTGACAGACATATCCCAGGCCCTCCTGAATGCCAGCAGGAGATGCCATTCTAGACATCTGTTAGGAAAAATGGAAGGAAAATATGGCCTGGGCCTGCAACTTCCTTCCCCGACCCTGCACCACTCAAGGTCTTTCCGAGGTCTCTTCAGCACCCTCTCGGTGTTCATCCCGTCTCCTCTGGGACAACAGAACCTGGGGCTGGGGGCTGTTTCCCACAAGAAACCCACTTGAAACCCGCTGAACAAAAACACCATTTCTTCCAGGGGGAAGGGGAGGGGAAATGGCTGACTAGACAGGCTACAGAAAACTCTGGAAGCCAGTGAACCAACCCCACGCTGTTTAAGGAAAATAATGCCCAAACAAAATCCTCTCTAAGTTACAGCAGCTTCGCATTAGGGGATAGAGTTATTCATGTTTGAAAACCAAGACAGTAAGTGTCCCTAGAAGGTTTATCAAAATTTCCTGTGCTGATATACAAGGACACAACTCAACATGGCGCCCATTTTAAATATCTGAGGACGTCAAGGGAGGGCACTGGCGGAAGGAAGGGATGCCTCACGTGGATCTTGCCACCCTGGCACCCTCCTCTGAAG